TATTTCGCCATTGAGGTAAAATTATAATACTTAAATTATACTCAAATTAGTAGAACCAGGTAGTATGCCAGGCTTAATGTTTTCTTACCATTTTGATTAGTCCCGGCATTGTGTATCATTTATTAGGGTTCCGTACCCAAAGGGTAAAACGTGACCATATTACTAAGACTCCGCTGTCTGTCTGTCCGTATGCCACCAGTCTGTATCTCGTAAACCGTGATAGTTAGACAGTTGAAATTTTCACAGATGATGTATTTCTGTGGCCGCTATAACAACAAATACTAAAATATATTTAAGTCGGGCTCCCATAAAGATACATGATTTTTTTTGCCGTTATTTATAGATAATGGTGGGCGAGTCTAATCCGCACGGAGTCGGTTTTCGACTTCCAAAAAAGGCCTTAGACTCAATTGCATTGTATTTTTTTATGTTTGTTACCTCAGAACCTTCGAACTGATTTTGATGATTATTTTTTTTTTGAAAGCTATTGCTTCCCATGTGGTTGCATATTAATTTCATTGGTATTAGATTGGTATTGGATTTCAAGTCGGTTTTGTTTTTCGTTATTAAAAAAAAATACTTGTTTTATGTCTTTCTGTCACAGTCTAATAAATTGACTTTTGATTAAATCGGTTATGTTAACGACGAAAAATTTTTCATGTCAATAAAGCAATGGCAAATGTCTTACATGAATAATCCAAACTGAGAAAGGGTCGATATCAGTTAGTTTGGCAATGGTAAACGTGCTATGAAAAAGGAGCTTTGACGAAACACAGTCTCCTGCATAGCAGTAATTGCCATCACCCAACGAGGCAGGCCATCTGTCCAGTTCTGTTAGATTCGCTTCAAACTCGTGGCATCTGGCTGATATTTCGGGTACCGTGTACAGAGTACGTTAAAAATGCCAAATCTACTTCTTGATTACTATTTGTCTTATATCATATCTAGCGACCCGCCCCAGTGTAATGTATTATACATATAAACCTTCCTCTTGAGTCACTCTATCTAGTAAAAGAATCCGCATCAAGATCCGTTGCGTAGTTTCAAAGATCTAAGCATATAGGGACGGACAGACAGCGGGACGACTTTGTTTTACGCTATGTAGTGATAACATTAATATTTTATTTATTTATTACAGTTGTCCGACTATTATATAATTTTCGACATATTTATGTAGAATGACAGGCTTTGATATTTTTGTATTGTTTTAAATTTAAGAGACTTTATTATTAATTTAATTGTCTAATACTGTAACATTAATAAAATTAAACCATGTGATCGCCATGGCAAGCAAGTGGAATAGGTAGTGCAAGGTTGGTCCCAAGAGTAAATCTTTTTAGTGCAAATGAAGGACAATTCGGTCTATTCCACTCCGAGTCTACCCGATATCTTCCTATCATTAACATTCTTTTTACATCCCAGAAATGTCTAAGACACTTTTATATTCAAAACTCGCTTCGGAATTTTAAAGGCAAAATTCTTTTAACCTTCCTTTCGTCTCGTTCTTTCGAACGTCGCTATCTTAGCGAATGGAATACTGACTTCAGAATGACGGTTATAAGCTCTGAATGCAGGCGTTTATTTAAAATCATTTGTATTTCCACCAGAGTCGGGACAGTAGTCATGTTCTAAACATAAGAGACGTTGATTTGAACTGTTTGCCATGCGCGCCATCAGCTATTTAAGCAATGTTTATTTAGAACCGTCCGCGTCAGGTAAAGTGTTATGAGAGAAATCAGACGTGATGATTGATGCGCGTCTTTTTAATCATTGCTCCACGCCAATCATGCGTCTGAGCTAACCTCGAATGGTATTATTTTAAAATGCTCACAATTTGTGAATTAATTTGAATTTTCGTAAATGCTTTATTAGGGTGTTTTGTCGACCATAGATTAGGATATTTTTTTATGCGAAAAGTTGCCAAACGAGCAGACGGGTCACCTGATGTTAAGTGAATACCGCCGCCCATGGACATCTGCTACACCCGAGGGTTAGAGATGCGTTGACAACCTTTTGAAAATTGGGCTCCGGCTACCTCACTCACCAGACGTCATACTTCAACTTTACGCTGGTCTTCTGTGAGGTCGTAGTACTTACCCGGACGGGCCTGACCATTCGTGCAACAGCTTAGGCTGCTGCGTGCCCTACCACGGTGGATTATGATATGATATTTAATTCAACGGTGGAAACGCAGAGGTATATTTTTACCAATGCTTCACGCCCATCTTCGTTAAAGCTATGACGCTTACCCGCCTAGCCAATAGGCTCAGCACTAGCACAGCAGTAGTCTTTATAAACTGCTATTCCAGAGTTACAGGGTAGTGGTATCCACAGTCATTTAAAACAGACTATGACAGATTTTAAATAGAAATTTACCTACTCTAATGAACGAATCTTCGAAGAAAGAATCTTCTTCCTTTTTCTTATCCTTATACCATCTTATTGGGATGCATAAGATGCAAATCATGTCGTTAATGGAGTTTTGTTGACTATCCAAGTCCCTGGCGTCGATCTTACTTGCGAACAAAGGTGTTCCCCACGCAGGTGGGGAACTGTTATCTGTGAGTCTCACTACTTTTCCCCTGTGAAAATGGAATCCTCGACGATGCTAACAGCTCTATAACAACAACAGGGCCAGGGGAAACTGAAAATCAGCGCTACACAGTCAGCCTTATGCTGTCTGTTGTAGCATAAGCTGTGGAAACCTTTTGCCAAGGAGCTTTTGTATTTTTTAAATCCCTAAGTAATTTTAATATTTTTGTAAAATTTTTGCTTATTATATAATATTGTTAATATTCTTTTTAAATTCTCTTTTTTTTGGTTAGCACTTAAATTTATTGTACAATCTATTTTTTCTTGGCAATAAACAATTATTATTATTATATTATTACTAACGTACAGTATGTAATCATTGTCACACAACTACTTTTGCAGTATGAAAAGAGAGCGTACTCTTTCTTGAAAGGCCGGCAACGCATTTGTGAGCCCTCGGGTGTTGCAGGTGTTCATGGGCGGCGGTAATCACTTACCATCAGGTGAGCCTCCTGCTCGTTTGCCCCTTTTCTCCATAAAAAAAATGCCCAGGGACGGGATTATATGCCTTGATTATAAAATGGACGCCAAAAGAGGTCCATTGCATTATTGCGTTATTTTGTATCAAATTAAATTGACAACAAAATAACTTAGATTAAACGGCATGAAATGATTCATACCTAGTTTTTGATCGGCGTTATGAAAAATATATGTAAGTATTGTCAAATATTTTTCACAATGGCGAATTTACATTACGGTTATTTCCATATCGTTAATCATGTAAAGTGCAAACAATATGCGAAGCTGTCAAAAATACGATTCGAAAATAACCCTTTTATCGGAACATGAAATAGAGCAAACGTAAACCGTTCGTTACGTAAGGTAATACCATTGTTTTGCTCGAGACGAAAATACGCTAATTCGTATTTCGCGGAGTAAAGAAAGTATTTCAAAGGGAGCGGATTTTGTTTACAACAAATAATGGCAAAGCTTTAAGCTTAGGGCAATATCCATTTAGCAATGTGAGACGTCATTTAAGTCACTGAAGCTGAGGTCAATACATAATTCAAATATATAAGGAGTCGCTATAGTTTATTTTTTAAAAAAAATAAATTTATTATGCCTACACTAATTTATATGTAAATTTGTAGAAAATATATTTCTCAATTACAAAAAAAGGAGATGAAAAATATAGATGAAATTGGCAAGCGCTTCCATTGAGGAAATGGACGGTATTATTAAATATATATTATATTTGCACGTTAGTGCATAGAGTAATTTCCATGGTCAAGCTTTTATTTTGATTAAAATTAAATGAACTCTGAGCTGGCTTGCCAACGCACAGGACAAAGAACAGATTTGAGTCTTCTCTTAGAGAAAAGAGAAACCTCTAGTCCTTATCCCATCTAGGTGAAGTCGACTCAAAGTGTGGTTGTCATTGTATTGGTTAGGTTTTTTACGACAGGCCGCCTGCCTTAAGTCCACGATTCTTGGGAACAATTGATTTGACTAATATATAATTTATTACATAATTTTAAATCATTATAGCGATATATTGATATAGAACGGGATGAAAATAGAATAGAGTGAATTTGTGCCTAGTAGCGGTACCACAAAACCACAATCAATAAAAATTCTAAGGAACGAAAATAACGAAGTCTCTTGGAGTCTTTTCAATCTACACGTTAACACCTAAAAATACTTTTTTAGCATATTGCACGGACTGACTAGGATTAACGTAAATAATTTTTATGTGAAGAATCTCAGACAGCTAAAATTTATACGTAGGTGTACATAAAAATTAAATTAATATGTTAACAAATTAATATTTCTATCAAATTAATGCAATAACATATTCTTTATTTAAGTTCATTCTGATTGTTTTTTTTTAAATTTCGGTTATATTTCAACCTCTGGCTACTACTAGTATTAGTACATCGTCGCGCTAGCTCAGCGAAGACACAAATGTTTAGTCCTTTACTATTTTGCTTACTATGATGTATCTCACTCATATCTACGAAACTTTTTTAACATTACAAACTCAACGGATACTTTCCGTCAACATTACTTCAAAGTTGCTGAATCAGTAATGGACACATTAACAATTACATGTGAAGGTATAAATACTATAAATTATAGTTATTTCAACAAGAAATAACAGGCTTATCTATTAAACACGTTGGCGCTGGCAACACTGTATACCGAATATGATGTTATCTACTCGAGCGAAGGGACACACGGTCGCATGGAACAGCGGTCACTTGGATTTCGGCTGCGTTCCCGGACGGTGATATAACTACTAGTGCTGCTTGTCGGTATGATAGTTATTAATATTTAAGTTCAGTAATAGTTAAAATATTAGAATCAAGGTAAAAACGTTAGAACTCTTATGAACTCTTATAAACATTAATTTAATATGTATATTATACGCGATGCAACTAGAAATCAACATTTGTGAACAGACTTACCGTCAAGTTCAATGTTGAGGTTGGCGGAAGTGTGTCCATCCCACGGGTGGGCGATAAGGCGAACGGTGTACGCGCAACCAGGTCTGATTGCACAGCTCTCTGCCACTGAGCTGGGGTACATCGGAACAACCCACCATCGGGAGATCTGTAACAAGGAAAAACAGCAAGTAAATACCCCAGGAAATCATCATCATCACTACTGCCTGTTTTAGGCCACTGTTGGGCATAGGCCTCCCCACTGGCTGCCATGAAACACGATCCTGGACCAACTGCATCCATCAACTTTCTGCACATTTGCTAACAAACTGTGCATAATCCCAAGAAATAGTTAATTCGATATTGTCTTTCAAGTAGTAAAGATTCTGTAAATCTCAATTCAACACGCTGGCTTATATTTTTAATGGAAATATTTTGTTTTTAAATTTTGTAACGTTATAAAATAAGCAAACACAAAGGCGAAAGGAATTAAATTACTTACAACCTTTCCGAAAGTAATTAATGTAAATTGTGAAACGTTTAGTCCTCGGCGTAGTTCAATTAAACATTTCGTTTGGGAAATTCAAGAAAATTTCATTGAAGATTTCGACTAAAAGCAATGGAGTGCCTAATCCTGTTGCAGACAAATCAGAACACCCATTTGGATAAAACCTCACAAATAAGCTTAAAGAAAATGTAAATGTACACTAAAAGCTTGCCTTTGTGTGACACATTAAGTATTTTAAATGGTTACAAGTCAGTTAAAATTATCGGCTTCTTTAGTCAATTTATTTTTGACTTAAATTATTTTTTCTTTTGATGGAAATAACGTAAAATGTTATTACGTTGTTGTCGTTAATACTATTCGTCTGTCTTCTTAATACTATCTATTAGTTGTTCTAAATTGTATGGATTCTTCTTGTTCTTTTTTTAGTCTTGTTTTAATTAGGACATTGTTCTACTATTTGGGCTTCTACTGTATTGATGTTATAGGGACGTTTGTCGTCCGGTGTTATTTTAAATCAGTTTAGGTTTGCTTTTTATTAGCCATGTTTTGTCAGAATCTGAATTGTGTGGAAAAAAGATTTTATTTATTTAATGATTTTGGTAAGTTACAACAGTTTTCTGCATCTATTTTAAGACAGATGTTGTTTAACTCGGGAGATAGGAAATTTGTAGTAGACAGGAAGTTTGTCAAGTTTTACCACTGCTATAGCTGCCGCGTCTGATAAATCATTACCCATAATATTGATATGTGCCTTGACCCAGTAGAAGTTAATTACTTATTTTGTTTCTATTTGGTGATGGTTCGGTATTTCTAGTGGGAAGTAGAACATTGGAAATGTTCTACTACATTGGAAATGTTCTACTTCCCCCTAGCAATACACGTGTGTTCATTATTCTTGTGATTAGAAACAGTAAGAGTGAAGTGTAGTAGTTAGTTGCGGGAGATTTTCTTGGGTTTATTGCTTTTGTGTCCAGTACTTCTTCCATGGTATTTACCATGGTGGTTCAAATGGTATGGTTCATGGTGGTAAATACCGTCAGTATTTGTTTGAGAGAGTTTTCGTATTTGTTTGTGTCTTAATCGTACATCTGGTTCATCTTGCCAGATTCTATTGAATTAGAGGTACAGTTAACAGCTTTTGTGGGGTGGCGTTTGTTTTTAGAGTGTTTTGTTGAGGCTCCATATATATTATTTTCGCTGCTTATTGCAGAAGTATCTAAAATATTCGGCTGTTCCTAAAATGTATTCTTTAATACGTAAATTATTATAAATAATATTATAGTAATAACTTGTTATTTATTCAACGATCTTAATTTTTAAATTGTAGACTGAAGATAAATAAAATGTTTGAATAAAACGCGAGGTTCGCGAATACGTCAAAGTTATCAAAACTTTGAAGGGGCATAATTCAATTGGAAACTTCTCAATTTGCTTTTCTTTCGATGTAATTTAACTTCGTGCTGAAGTGAAGTTAATAAAAGAATCAGTCTATGTTTTGCTTAGTAATATCATTGGTATTAAAAAAAACGAATGGTTGGTTCCTCATCAAGTTATTTTAAATGATATAGTATAAAGCTATAATAATTTTATCTAATTTTAATTAATGTTTTATTTGTATACATTTAATTTGTTGTAAAATTTTTATTATATCTTCAAAAAAAAAAAAAACTTTACCACTTTTACATACAAAATCCTCTCCTGATTCCATCTTCATTTAAAATGGACCTAATCCGCTGAAACATTTCTTTGTATTTTCACACGGTCATTATGCTAACTTTTGTTCCAAAAAAGACTGGTTGGATTGGAGCTTATCAGATTTTTATTAGTAACTTCCTGATTGCTCTCCCACCATATAGAAAGTGGCAATAGAACTGTAGATGGTAAAGGCACTTGCGCCGTCAAATCATATTTACTTTTGTCTTCAAGACATCCACGTTAGATATTTATCCGGGCTAATTGGCAGCTAATTAGTACGCCTTTTATTCACCTTGAACAATTATAGATTTTAAACTTCGGTCGACGATATCTCATGCTACTCGAATCTTGTACATATTAAGTACTACCTAAGTATGATATTTTAAAGATTTGTTAGACTAGGCGTAACATAACAGCCTCATTCAATGACATTTCCTTAGAGTCCTTTGCCGATGAACTGGTAGAACTAATCTTACTTTCGACTGCCTTTACGTGGCTTTATGGTGGGACAAGTTGCGTCTGCTAGATTCATGCTCCCTCAGCGTCACTTTTTTTCGAGGGTAATCTTGAATATATTAGGTTAAGAGGCTCGCCTGACAAATGCGCGAATAAGTAGTTACCATTTAAAAAAAATCAAAGACACACTATTGGAATGTCTTCCACCGTACTCCCCGGACCTTGCTCCAACAGATTACCATTTTCCGGAATTTGGACAACTTCTTACAAGGAATAAATTCAACTCCGATGCAGCAGTCCAAGCCGCCTTCAAAGAGTTTATTGATTTTCGCCCCCCTTGCTTTTTTTAGTAAAGGGATCAATGAACTACTTTTGAGATGGCAAAAGTAAATAGGTAACAACGGTGCATACTTAGATTAATTAAATATATTTTATATGAGATATATAATGTCAGTCTATGGGGGAGGCCTATGTTCAGCAGTGGACTCAAACAGGCTGAAATGATATAATATCTCATAAATTTATTCATGAGATAAGTGAAATATGAAATTGCAATCGCATATTGTGTTTTGATGACTCCGTGGCGCAGTTGCCAAGGTATTGGCTTCGGCGTCGGGGGTCGTGGGTTCGATTCCGACACGGGACAACTATTTGTGTGACCCAGAGATAGTGGTTTCGCATCTGGGTGTTGTAATTTATAAAACGTCATTACAACACAGAATAATGTTATCCTAAAGTAAGGGCAATATTTAAAAAAAAAAAAACAGAAAAAAAAATATGCTAGTTCATCGTAACCATCCTCCTGCATTTAATGCAAATATATGATCAGTACAAAATGTGAATCATGGTGTTGTGCCTGTCCAGCATCAAATCATATTTATGTATTCGGAACAAGCACTCAGATGTGGAACAATTACCTTGGGTCTCTCGAAGACATGTCCTGTGTGCTAATCAAACCCACAACTGTTGGCACCGAAGCCAATGCTTAGCCACGGCGCCACCGAGTTATATATCATTTCAATCCAAGGAATGTAATGTACCAACTAGTAATTATGCTGAACGATAATGAGAGATCATTCTTCATTCAGCATTATCGTATCACCTTTCATTCTTTCATTTCTATTCACAATAAACTGATATCCGAGTTGATGTTTATAAAAAATATTTACGTTCGAAGTTCGAGAAACCTCCTCTTTTTTTAAAAATAGTCACCAACTGAATGTCTTATTTTATGTTATTTATTTTATTTTTAAACTTCATGTACAAAACAGTACATACGCGGACTTAATGCTGACAGTATTTTCTACCAGTTAACCTTAGGGTGGTACTGAGAAGCTGAGGTAGGTGCACAAACACAGTTATAAACTAAAAAAAAACATAATTATTAAATATAAAAATATAACGCATAATATAATTCTAGCATACAATACTTTTAAACGATACAATAAGTATTACTTTACATATACATACTTAACCAATAACAGTAATTGAATGAAACAATGATATAGCGGATCAATAAATATTCCTCGAAAACTTTTAAAGATATAACCCATGAGTGATTGTAATACTTGTAAATTCCTATTTTCTAAAAAAAAAATATTTTAAATGGAACTCATATACTCATATACATCATATTGGAACGCGATAAGGAATGATGCGGCCGTAGCTATACGTATTTAGTCATAATATGTGAAAATTGGAGGAGGAGCTTTGGCATTGTTCAAAACATCTGATGTGCGTGTCGAACTCGTACGCCGAGGGTTCCGTACCTACCCAATATACCGCCATATTAAAATTTATAAATAATGCCCAGCGATTTTCTCAGGAAGGGGTGGACCTAACAAATGTTGAAATTTATGCTAGATACTGAGATCTATGGACCTCTTTATGATGGTCATGGGGACCCCATGTGAATATCAAAACCAATAATTTTTTGGAATATTTCCTTTATTTGTCCTGTAAGACATTGCTTTTTGCCGGAACCCTAATAACTTTAAAAGAATGTGTGTGCGTGTGTGCTTGCAATTTGATTGGAGGTTATGTTTGTAATATACACATAACAAGTTAGACACAATGTAACCTAATCAATCGATAGTAGCTAGAGGATAATCTGTGGAGTGCGCAAAACTTAAAAGGAACGTCTTTATTTCTAAAATTTATAAGAGGACCAGTCGGAATGATATCTTGTTAATAGATTTTTTTTCTAATTCATTCAGTAAGTATGGGTCATATCTTATGTTAGAAGATTTACACCCGGTTTCTTTAACACTGATCATTCAGGTCAATTCAAAAAGTTTAACCATCCTTTTGGCAACCCAAATTACGTTTGAAAAGCCCTTTGACAGCTGTTTAGTTAACTTCTACGATGATCAGTGTTTCAGAAACCGGGCGTTAAGTTCAGATTACTTACAGTATAAGATTTTGGGATGGTACATGCAAATACTACCAAATATCAACTAAAAGGAGCACAAAGGTCTTTAGTGAAAACAGTGATGTTTAGGGCATATCGATATCCTATAAAAGCTTTTAATAAGGATACCCAAATTCTTATAGTTGTACCTTCTAAGAATTGTTAGTCAAAAACACCTATGTAATGCGTACAGTAAAGAAATATTTAATGCAATACAATGAAAAACTAAAGATATTGCGCCTATCGAGTCACAGACCTCTTGACGTTAGCACAGCTTCATTACAACTTATTTCCAATAAATATTATAAGTGAAAAAGTTTGTGACGGTGTATGGAGGTTTGGATGTATGTTTGTTACTATTTTACGCAAAAGCTATAGATTGGATATTATAAAACTCTACAATAATGTAGCTCATACATCAGAATAACACAAAGGCTATAATTTATAAAGATATTGTGTAAATTGGCCCAAAATATAATGATAAGTGTTAAGTAAGCCGGAAAAAACTGTGTGGTCTGCGAACTATTTCGGCGTAAGCTGAAATGGTAGAAATATTTATGTTTTACAGTTCTACAAAGGGCTGGTTTAATTTTAGCATTCGGGAACTCTTCGATTCAAGGCATTCATTCAAACATTTTGTCAATAAAGTTATTGAAGTGAAAACTTCTTTTAGCGCGGTACGCACATTTTTAGATGAGATAAAATCTCTGGATTCGTGACACCGTTACGATACGCAGCTATAGTGTGTGCTTAATTGAATTTTGAATAGAGAATTTGATTTTTCTATGTCCATTCAACACAATATTAGCAAAACAAGATATAAAAGTACAATTGGTACGAGATATTTAAATAACTTCGAATCAAAATTGTTTATTTCCTACGTTAGTTACCTATCATGAACCTATAATAATAATAATTTATAATTTATTTTATATATGCAATATATATCTTTATGTTTATTTTTTATCTATAAACCCAACCAGACGAGAAAACAAAGAAATATCCCCAACATAATAATAATAAAATATCTTTATTCACATAGACGCTTGCGCGTTCTTATGAAACGTCAAAATTTTACAAAGTATAAGTTTCTATTTTATGTAGTTTCTATAGTTTCTATTTTAGATTGTAATAATTTTAATGATAATGATGATGATACAAGAGTTGTCGAAATTGTTAACGATGATTCATGAAAGAATATTAAAAAAAAAAAACAGAATATTAAATGTATTTTAAAGTTTCTAATAATTAATAAAATACAATACAAGTCCTACAAAATATGACTAATAAAGTGTTTTAATCTTATACAGTGGTGCCTTTCAGTAGTTAGTTACAAATATTTAAATTAATATATTTTCTATTATAATAGTTGGAATACTAAAAAGGTTGAATAATGTTTCAACATTTTTAGTTCAATAAAATACATTAAATAATCTATACCTACTTCATTTATTATTGGTGAACACTGGTGCTGCTTTTGTACATTTTTGAATAATTTTTCACTCACAATATATGTTTCTCTGCTCTATCCAAACAATTAAATCGGTGTCGAACTATCAGCTATTGCCCAACGTAAACATTATTTGAGTAGTAGTCACTACTATGACGACAACCATTGATTTTTTTTTATTTATATTTTATTGCAATTACCTTAATCAAGGCGAACTTAATGCATTTAGGCATTCTCTCTGGGGCGTGGAGATAATATTGTGGTAGGTGCAATAAAAAAAAAATAAGTACATTACTAATGTGAATGAAATATACACACGCTTAAATATATATAAATACTTACATACATATACAAAATAAATACATATATACAAATATACACATACATATTACATATAAAAATATTAACATATATACATAAATATAAACATATAAACGATGTTGAAATAATGATGAAATTTAACATTCAGATGTTAAGTAAAATTCGCGGACTTTGCGTTTGAATGAGGCCTTGCAAGGGGCACTACGTATGTCTTCAGGCAAGGAGTTCCAAAGTATTTTTTTTATATATTTTAAATTTTAGTTTTTGTTTTATTAACAAATTTGACAGGTTAACACGTGTACACCGTGAAGTTTTTAAGCCGCGAAGGCTTTTTCCGTTGTGTCTGCTTTATCTTACCCCTGGAATGTTGAATTCGTAGCACATCGTCATCATGCAGTCCACCGTTTCGGTGACGCTGCGCAATTCGATGGAGTAATCCGATACTGGTGGACCTGAAACAAATTATTTTATCGAGTCATTGTCATCGTGCGGTGAAGATTGGAGGCGGCAAGGGAAGATAATGAGACGTACATGTCAACAAATGTTTTAGGGGACAGCATCCGGAATTCAAAAGTACTTAATTTTACGGTGGTAGGGCCACACAGCAGCCTCGGCTGTTGCACTAATGGGCAGGCTCGTCCGGGCAAGTACCACGACCTCACCGGAGACCGGCGTAAAGTGGAAGTATAATACTTTCGCGTTTCGTCTGGTGAGTGAGGTGGCCGGAGCTCGATTTTCAAAAGGTTGTCAACGCATCTGAAATCCTCAGGTGTAGCAGATGTCCATGGGCGACGGTATTCACTTAACATCTGCTCGCTTGGCAACTTTTCATTTTAAAAAAAAGTTCTCATTATTGGACAGAACTTATGACCCATAATGAGATGACATGTCTAAATTCAAGTTCGGCACAATGATCAAGATTTCAGATCGATACGTCAACGCGGCACAATCTCGGATGCATGAAATGAAAATGCATTTGCTTACAGAAAACCGCCGTCAGTAAGCTTTACACCCCATAGAATAAACAGATAGTTTTGGCTCGAAAAAAAAATTAAATATGTCGTTGGTATGCAGATAAACTTGCTAAAGCTACTCACCACAAAGTTAAGTATTATTTAGCGCGCTCAGTGGGGCCGTAGTTATGGAGAGCGTCTCCGTGCAAATTCCTAGGTCAAGTTTTCAGTACTTATTTGAAATACAGTCTATCTTGTTTATGTTTTAGATAGCATGGTTTTAACATTAAGTTTATATTATAATTATCCCGGAAGTAATTGAACAACAGCTCATGAAATCATTAAAATAATCAAATAATACTTACAGCTAAAGAGCTATTGTAGTTGCGCCGATATATCTCATTATTGAAACATTTGTAACGTTCAAACAGTTCTTGAATATCCATGCCATTCAATCAATCTATACAGATAAATACAATTGGAGTGTCTGTTTGTAATATTAAAATAACCACTTTTTACTAAATGTATATGGATGTGTACACGGTACATATACCAAAATAACATTTTTTACAATTTTCTGTTTGTTCCGGATAATCTCTGAAACAGGACCGGACCGATTTCGACGGAATTTTCACTGACAGATAGCTGATGTAGTAGAGAGTAACTTAGGCTACTTTTATTATAGATGTTTTTTATTTTAAATTCCACGCGAACGAAGTCGCGGGCACAGCTAGTTGAAAATAAAACTAAACAATGTAAGCAAACATTTCGCCAGTTCAATATTAAACTGTTACTACTAGGTGTCTTCGCATATACGCACACAAATACAGTGGACGCGAGTGTAAAACAAATGCTTTACGTACACAAAAATACGAAACAATAGCATAAAATTGACATTTGTTATGAGACGACACGGTTTCTAGACGTATATTCCTAAGTCTGAATCACGAATTAAAAAAAAAAAAGTGTTCGTGTTTTTCTCTTGTTTGTTTTTGAACCTTCACTTCGCAACCGATAAATAATTTCATCGATTTATCTTTGGTTGATTGGTTTATTTTATGTTTATTTTCATTTCAAGAATAAGATGCGGGCAGAGCAATTTGGCTCAAATAATTCCTAATGTTATAAACCAAGCTAATTTTCAGTATAACCAGACTGTACAACGGTTTGAGGAGTGAAAAAAAAATTAAAATGAAAGGATCTTGTGCAGAAAGTACTTTGGATAATAAACAAGCTGCGTTCAGTATTGATCCTTCAATTGACTACAGTTACTAGTGATGTGCTTGTATATATAGTATCTGTGAAGTCAGTGTCAGTTGATCCTCTACCAAAAGTGTATAATTTTTGCCAAAACAAATTAAATTTAGTGATTTTGTTATGTACTCAGTAATATTTAATCAAGTGTCATAGTTTAGAAAAATAAATTTGTTATAAAATTATAATGATGATTGTTTATTAAAATTGACAAGCATAAATATTTTTCACATAAAAAATATTAAATTTGTTAGTTAGTAGTAGACAAAATTTTATGATTTTTTTTCCCTTTACATTATTTTCAATACCTAATGGATGACATCGAATTCTACGGAACGACAGATTCTATGATTTTCTGACCCATTTCCTGTATACACGTATACAATATATACGTTCTTCTTGCATAAAAACATTTTACCCAAATGTAATAATTTAAGGATGTTACGTCAAGCGAAGCGAAACTTCACTCGACGGTTCTGAATTTTACTTTTACGTTTTGGATTAACATATTTTTACCTCATTTACTTTTAAAAAAGTGAAATTTTTAACAAAAATCCTCTTCTCAGTAATTTAAAAGAAAGAAAGGAAGCGGAAAGGCGGATCAATATTCAAAAATCTTATGTTAATACTTTTTAGTAGATAAAACATAATTATTTTGTTTAAAAACTTAATGCCCGTTATATTCTCAAACGGCGTTTACATTAAACCTTGTTCGAGTGTAAAGCAAATAATCCTGTTAATTACAATGGCCCGAGACAACAAGGCTGGTCTATTGTAAGCAACTATACTAATTTAATATTGAGAACGGTTTATGCAGTGTGGTGAGAGGTTAGTTAGAAGGTCAACTCCTGATTTGGCTCGTGTGTGTGTAAATGGTAGCAATTATTTAGCTTTTCTTTTCAAGTTATTTTGCATACATAAGTAACCAGTCTGCAAATGTCTAGAGGAATGTTTGACGAACTACGCACTGGTGTGAAATAAATAACTCGCTAAAATAAATGAGATAATAAAATTGCACTTAACAATGTCATTGGCGCCGATTTCCCGACTGGAACAGAATTTAATTGCTATCGTTCTAAAACTAAAGATAAATATGTATATTGCTCTTTACCTCTAAATCCTACAGCTAAGTGAAATTAGTTTGAATGAGTTTTTTTGAACGTTCATAAAAACTACTGCATATCAAAGAAATTAAAAAAAAATAATACATTTCATGTTGGTTTGAAATAGTTTGTAGCATTTTCTAAACGCACGCTAGCAAATGGTATTTATAAATAAAAGCGTGAATGAGCTTACGAGTAGGTCATAAACAGGATACAGAACGAATTGAATAATTTACAATCTAATGCAATATCCATAATATATGTTTTAATTCCTTTGATATCCATCGCGATGTTCGTTATTGGAATTTTATTGCTAAGTTATTTTTGTTGGTCACAACCTACAAGTAAGCTGCTGACAATAAGAGTTTAGGTTCGACAAACACGTAAAACACGTATATACATCGGAGCCCGGAATACACTCAGAGATCTTTTTAAAGAGATTAATATACTCACTGTTGCGTCTCAATATATTTATTGTAGTATTTTGTATGTTAAACATAATATTAATAATTATCTAAAGAATACTGACAGACATAGACTAAATAAAGCAACTGTTGAGTTTCTTGCCGGTTTCTTCTCAACAGAAACTGCTTTCCGAACCGGTGGTAACTTACGAACGTGTTAATTTCTTGTAAAATTTTGACGTTTCATAAGAACGCGCAAGCGTCTATGTGAATGAAGATATTTCATTATTATTTTCTTAAAAGCTTTATCTTTTCAGCTCTGCTGGTTTTACGTACATTCACGGACCAAAGTCAAGTGAATGCAGCAATGTGGTGTATTTTTCATGTTGAGGATGTGTACTCATCTAACTGCATGAACTTCCTTACGATTCTGCATGTGTTTAAAATAGCGGCTTTTTGTAGAGTTATGAATAGGGTATCTTCTAAATCAATTAATTTTAGGCTACGGAGAAGATGATTGGGGATAACACCGGTTGTTGAGAGAACTATAGGAATTACAAAAACTTTTTCTTGTCTCCAGATTCTAGTTACTTCTTCTTTAAGATCTGTATATTTACTTACTTTTTCAGCTATTGTTTTTTTTAAGTTGTGGTTGTGGATTAACCCATTTGCAGACACGACTATCGGGATAATTTCGGTCGGCACACCACCCCACATGTCGGTCACCTCGTGAGCCAGGTCCAGATACTTTGTCTTTACTTACCTTTGCGATACGGTCCTCAATTCTTCTTCTCCATGCTGGGATAGTGCTACCTGGTTTAGTAGCACGTCCAGTCTTTGGAAGTTTGGCGCCAACGATTCGGCATACTGCCAGTGCAGCGCCAAAGAGAATTGAGTCCGTATCGCAAAGATCCCTGCTGGCTTCCAAATAGGTTGCCAGCATCGGGTTAAGAGACCTCACGACAGACCGACTCCGCTTACTTAGGGGTATGCGGGGGAGTCGTTGTCGATTCTCGAGAGGTGTTTCGCGCACCTCCAGAATTGCCTCCTCCAATTTGCTTCCCATCTGCTCTATTTCTTGGGCGACTATTCCATCATCGCACGAATCTACAGGGGCCGGGGGGTAAAACGCGGCGTCCGCTTCCGCTTGTAACCCTGCGGGATCCGCAGCTTGCGGGGTCGCATTTCCAGCCACTGCATTTTCATTCGATGAGGGAACAGCCTCACGTCGAAGTCGTTCGAGCTCGGCATCATCAAATATTTTTGAACGCATGATGTACCGAACTCTGTCTGCTAGGTTTTGCTCGGTGACGGTTAAAGATGGCTCCAGCTCAGCAAAAACGCGATGCATCCTTGCCCGATACGCAAACCCTCCAGTTTCACTCCCTTTCGCCCTAAAATACGCCCGCATTGCGTTCTGATTCATTATAGACGTCCAGCGCAAGCGGCGTATTCCACCAGCGGCGGGTGCCGATTGCTGGATCCGAGAGGATCCTGCCGACACCAAGCCAACTGGTGGGGATGATGGATGGGAGTTACTGCTTGGAGGTCGTGCAGTACCCCGCGCTCGGCTGGCGTCCCGCATGCTACCACGTCCATCGCCAGCTCCAGACGCGCCCTGGCGGCCCCCAGGCAGCGGCCCTATGCGCGTTCTTCTATTTTCCATCATCCATTTTAAGTAGGGCGTCGTTTAACGGAAGACGCCCCCAGACCGGCACCGTTTTCGGTAGTGTGGCCG